TGCTCCTTTGTTTCAGTTCCAGCCGCAACTGCGGTTAGCGCTCCACTCACCGCGCTTGCCATTGTTAGCCAGCCAATCAGCGAAACGTGTTGTTATGACAATTTATTGCAATTCAGCTGTGGAAAAGTATTTTTTTCTTAACTGCAACGTTGCCTGACTACTCATGTGCACACATAAGGCTTTGGCTTTGTTGTCACTTCTGATGCGATGATATGATTTCTGTTTAGTTTTCTCGAGTTTTAAGTGACTTGCAATTTGAATTTGCACGGTTGTCACGGGCGCATTACATTTTTCGCTTCTCAGTTGCAGGGGGTGCGGGGGGCGCTGTTAACCTGAGGAGATCAGAAGTCTTTCAATTTCCCACATTACACATGCATACAAACATATGTAGTATATGTATTCAGTAATGCACTTATGAAGAGCAGCTAAGCACTTTCATCCCTCAGCCCGCCTGCCTTTGCGAGCGGCTTTTCCACACTAACTGCAATTTACCACTAACCTAAAGTGTTTCTTTGTGATTTTGTATCTTTCTGCTCCTCCTGTTGTCTGTGCGATATTTTGCAACTGACCGACTCTGCTGCTGAGTGCCTGGATTGATCACTTTATTGCGCGCTGCAAAAGTGCAACCGCGAAAACTTTAATGTGCCATTTGTTGTTCGTCTACTTTATTTTCTGTTATGAGGCCACTTGCGTTTTGCAATTATATTCAACGAAATTGTGCCACAAAATTGCAACAACACTACAGCATTATTGTAAAAACTTATAATTACACGAAAACAAAACGAAACTGTGTCAAGCATTTGCTGTTTTTGCTGTTGCAATGCATACTTCGCATTTATGACCGGGCGCGAATGGTATCCGACATTAACACATGTGGTTTTATGATGTTGCCACTTTGTAGGTTTTCGCTTTGACCAACGTCAATAGTTGCATGTAAAGCATTTGGTGGCAAGCGTGTAAAATTTGAAATATGCAGTCGCTGACAGTTGTTCAAACGAATTCAGTACAACATATGAGTTGAATTAGTGGACATATCAAAAGTGATTAAGATATTTGAAACAAGTTCTTCCATTATTATTAGTAAATACATCTGTTAAATTAAATATAATATTTGCGAAATTTAAATTTTTAAATAATTAATAAAATGTTTAAATAATATTAATAATAGAACATTTAAATATGACATTAATTTTAATTTAGACTCAAGTTTTCGACAAGGGATTCTTGTACAATTTCAATAATTTTTAAATTAAATTTAAATAATAATCAGTAATAATTTTGATAACAGTTTTCTCTCTTTCCTTACATTTATGAATGTTTATATATATACAAAATTGGATATTATTAATGTTTATTCATTAAATTTTTTTGTTAAATTTAAATATTCTCAAAATAAAAAAAGATTCTGTTATTTAGTTTAAATCCATTTTCATCCATTTTTACAGTGTCGGTACGGCTTAAGGGATTTGTATCGAGCTAATTAGAGAGCGGGGCTACGTACAGCTTTTTCAAAATTTTTAGAACACAGGTGCTCTTTGCTACTGCGATCGCCTGTCGGTCGGTTTTCAATTCGTCTCGTCATCTTGTTCATTAATATACATGTATCCATATCTAACTCGATTAGTTTTAGATGCTACAAACAACCGTTAGGTGAACAAAACTTATATACTCTGGAGCAACATGTTGCAAGAACTTAACTTAATATTATATTTTAATTTAGACTTGAATTTGAAAAAGTTTAATTCTTTTTTAAATGTTATTTAATTATTAAACTATTTGAAAACTGCTTTGAAATAATCATATATGTTAAATAAAATTATTATGATTTGTATAAATAAGAATTTTAATTTTCTCTTTTTACATTTTTGCAAACATTTTTAATAACCGAAATTAAGATTATATTACTTTTATTTTACTAATTAAATATAACTAATAACAATGTATTTATTTGAGCTCAAAATTGTTCAATTTAATTTTTACTGAAATAAAAAATTGGAACATTAACACAATAAATAATATATGAATCATTTTTGTTAATAGTTAAATATATATAATTAATTTATAAGTATTTTTATTAATTGTTATCTGGTTAATTTTTTTATAAATATAAATATTATGTTGACACAAAGTATAATATGAATGCATCATGAAAAAGAAAAATTTCTTTTAAAATTCAGTTTTTATGTTCCTAATAAGAATATAGGTGATGCCTAGTCTATGTAAATGCTTAAGCATTGAAAAAATACTAAACAATGAACTCGTCAAGTTAATTCTTTAAAATATTTGCCTTTAAATATTTTAGGTTTATACATACTTATGTTATATACATACATACATATTTATACACAATTATTTCTATATTTATATATATACATGCAAACACATATTAATGCAAAAGAGAGGCAAAAGAGACCCAAAGAAACTTGTTGGCAAAGCACTTAATGCTCGAAGAAAAAAGTCTCGTGTAATCACTTCTACGCCAACTACTAGTTGATAGAAGCGCGTTTCTACGCAAAAGAAATAAGCTATCGCACCTGGAAAGTGCTAAAAGGCAAGTAAAAGAGAAACAAACCATATGAGCATAAACTTATAACTCAGCTTATCAAACACACACAGACAAAACAATAAAAATGAGTTTTCAAGGCTGCTAAATACACATTTGTCAGTGGCAATGAAATTGTTGTTGCTAGTTTGGCTTTCGGCGAACAAAATAAAACAAATACACGTGTTAACAACAACAAAAAAATAGAGTATGTATGTATATATTGATAATTTATATGTATAATATGTATTATATGTACATATGTATGGCTGTGTAGACACTTATAAAGAAAATTGTATAAGCATCATATTATATTATGTAGATATATATATATTTGTATGTGTACGTTAGTTAGATTAATGCTGACGCTGTAACATGCTGAAGCGTACAGTGTGTAATATTTCATTGTTGTTGTAGCGGAAGCGCAGTAGTCGTAAGTGGAATGTAATTGGTTATAGATAGTAAATAGTGCCTTTTGAAACAAACGCTATATTTCGAGCTATAAGTTTTCAGCAGATTCAGTTTTAAAATTTTTTTAACAAATATTTTTTTTCTATTGTAAAATTTTAAATTTTACATTTTACCCTGTTTTTGAAAATAATTTATAAAAACCTTTTTTTTTAAATCTTTAACTCTTTTTGCATTTTACCAATTTTTAGTTAAAATAGGACTAAGAAATAACTGTTTGCATTATTTTTGTGCACACATAAACTTATTATGTAGTAATTTAATTGTATGTATGTAAGCACGACTAATTTATGCTCTGTTGGGTTGGGCCACAAACTGGATAAAGTAAATATGCACAAGAGCGTAACAGCACATAGGTATATTCATATATAGCGTACATTAATTTATACATGCATAAATATGAATGTTTAATTGTACATGTATGGTACATATGTAAATCTGTAATTTTGACGTCCAACCAGTTCTTTGGACTTTGTTTTTTCTTTCCACTTCCACTCTCGATGAACCAAGGGCATTTCAAAGATACTAGTTTCACCACTAAAACTATTTCTTCTAATTATAGGTTGCTTGAAAACTTTGCGCTCGAAAAGAAAAATACTGTTTTTGGTACGAAATATATTTTTTTATTCAATATAATCTCTCTTAACTTCATACACTTATTCGAATAATCCTGTAATAATTTTATGCCATCCCTATATGACTTTACGGAAGCTATGCAAAATTCCCGTCTACGACGGTAATAGCTTCTTCATTCGACGAAAAACGCTTTCCACGAAGGAATTGTTTCAGCTGGATGCTCAATTTAATTCGTTGAATTTTGTCATTCTTTAAACTCTTTTGTGAGCTGGTGAATTTTTTTTGATGAAAAATTATTTTTTTGTGCTGCAAACTAAATATTTTCTCACGAACTTTTTCATCCAGCTGATCCAAAATGCTGCAATAATATTTAGAGTTGATTGTTTTACCTCTTTGCAGATAATCAATCAACAAAATTCCTTTCGCATGCTAAAAAACTGATGCCACAACCTTCTTTGCTGATCGTTGTGACTTCAATGTCGGATCTTGGTGGTAAATCCAAGTTATAAAACGATGTTTTACAAGAGAATTCGGTCGCTCTAATCTGTGCTGTGCTGCGTGTAACGGATGTTATACACTCGCGGCATACAAAACCTGCCACTTTCAAGGGCGGCAATGCCAAGCAGCTGGCAATTAATACTGCGACTAACCTTACGATCACAACAACAGCAGTTCACCGAGTTGTGAGCAATTAGTTGTAGTAGTGCATTTGGTGTGCCACATTGGCAGTGTGTCACGCTCGGCTGGCGCTGACACTGGCGCTATGGGCGTATACGCAATATAAGCGCGCCTATCGCAAGCCAACGACATTGTTGTTGCTCATACGCATTGGCAGCTGCAAAAGTTGCAACATTTAATGCGCGCATTAATTAGTTGCTTCAGTTATGATGATTTGGAAGCGGCGTGCTATGATTGAGCAATAAAGATATGCCAGAAGTATGTATGTGTGTCTGCGTGTGTGCGTTGGAAGGCGGCTGACCACAGCGCTTGCCCTTAAAGACCAAAGACGATTTATTATCGCGTGGGACATCAAAGATTAATATATTTACGTTGCCTAATGACTGTGTGAAAGCGAAAGTAGCTACAAAAGCAACAACAAAAGGAAAATGTAGCAATTTTATTAAATGCTCCACTTGCACCACAAAAAATTTTCCAACGCATAAATGTGTAATTTTGCATGCGTGTGTGTGTGCATGCGAAGTGGCGCATGCAAAAATTTGGCGCTTTGCGCTGTATTCGCTACACACAAACGCTTCGTACGCAATACGGTCTAGTCAATCAAATGGCAAGCAATTTGGGTCAACAGACGGCAATCGACAATGAAATTTTCGACACTTGCGTCTAACTGCCTGCCACAATGGCATTGCAGGCGCCCGAAAGCGTATTTCTAATGTTATGTTGGCCATGTACTCACCCTCTTTTTGCGTGGCGCCTCTTCCTTGAAGTCTACGACGATGCCCTCGTCCGAGGTGGATACTGATGTCGTGCGTATGCGTGTGTTCGGATCGTTCAGCATGGCGCTCGTATTGAGGACGGCATGGCCATCATCGCTGAGCGGCGGCGATGAGCTGCCCGAACTCCATGAGCTGCCCGATGACGACGAACTGCCCGGACTGGAGCCATACCATTTCTCTGAAGTATTTAAGTATGTCAAATGCAAAGAAACCGAAAGAAAAATAAATGACTCGTGAGTAAAGTGCATGAACGAGTGTTTTTTTTACAGAAAAGGAATAAGTGGGAAATATAAATATTTGCTTAGTTGTACGTTTTGGTGATTGCAATAACGCTTCTGCTGACCTGCATTTTTGGGCGAATGGGAGAGTTTCATTAAAATCATTGCTGCTTGACACTCCTCCATTTCCTCTTTGTCACCGCACTGTCCGCTGAAGCAATCGTGTATGTATGGCTGTGGACGTTTGCGTGAGCTGCAAGAAAAGAAAAAAGGTGGTGCAAGGCTTAAAATGATGTCACGAGGCAAATATGTGTGTATAGACGAAATAAATTATATAGAAATATATAAATCTATTATTGATGACGGCATGGTTAATTGTGACGGTAGTTTGGTAGTTATAGATACCTAAGTCATAGTAATTCTAATATATGATATGCACATCATCATTTTTTCCACATATTATATTGAATATTAATTACGTAATGTGTGTAGTCACGTGATATCACGAGATCTGTTTCTATAAGTAATGACAACAAATTTTTGAATTCGCACAGAAATGTTGATATATATGTTATTATCATATAAATACGAGAAAATATATAATGTAAATCGATACATGTGTGTACGTATGCACATATTCATGAAAGATATGTTGGCAGGCGCTTAGAAAATTAAAAAAAAATATTTAGCGTTTATTTATGAAAAATACAATCAATATTGGTAATGAAAAGACACTCATGCATACACATATATTCATATGCATACACACGTACATACATATACATATATAAATAAGAGCTAAATCGCGGCAGCAGTTTCTCATGCTCGCCAACACTGTCGCTGCCAATAAGTGCCATTCAACATAAGTGCAAGTGCGTAATTAACGGTATGTTGCGACACTAACCAAAAACGCTTTCTTCCGTTTACAAAATTTTATTTAGTTTTCTACATTTTATAATTTTTGAATTGTTTTTTTACGAAAAAATATTTTCTAAACGCCGTGCAAACGAAAAGGTGAGGAAAATATATTTACGAAATTTTGTTGTATTTAAATATGTAATGCTATTTCTGACTTTTGTTTCTCATTGATTTTGGTTAAAAAATTGAATATTCTAACAATTTTCTATAAATGAAAAACTTAATTTCTTACATATAGAAATGCGGGTCAAATTTGCTCTATCCCATTCACAAGGCCTATGTGTATACAGATTTTTGTACGTGTGCTTCGAACAACGCAGAAATTTCAATGTCGTGCCAACAATATCAACGCAAATTAGTAATAAAATATATTAATTATTATCTGAGATGAATAACCGTGAATCACCGAGCATGCGTTTATGCTTCGCCTACGCAACGCTGTGTTATGTATATGTGTATTGAGTAAATACTTATACATACATATATCCATACATTGCACAAATACCTTGAAAATAAGCAAAAAAAAATAAAAAGTAAATAGCATTTTAACAAATTGGCTTCAAAAGTCGCCCGAAAAATCGTCCATTACAAAGAGCAAAGGTGCATTTCTTATAGCACACCAGCAAACATTCATTGAACAAAAATCTACAACTCCAACCAAAAAAATAATAACAAAAACAATAACTACATTGTGTTTAATATATACTTGAATATTTTTTTATTTATCGTACTGCGATTTCACTCCAGTCAAAGCAAGGCGAAACCCGCGCAAACCCGCGCAGCTGTGCACAACTACTTACACAAGCGCGCACACATACAGCCGCAGTCATGTCTGCATAATACAAATGTTTGGTAAAAAATATTTCACTTTGTTTCTTTCACAAGACGGCGGCGGCGTACGTATCTACACCCCCGCTATTTTTCAAGGCGCTCACTGACCTTGCGCAATAATATGGTTTTGAGTCATTCTGGGCACTAAAAATAATTATCGCCGCGGCATACAAAGCTCGAAGCGGCTGAGTGGAACGTCATTTGCGTTAAAGGAGTGCGTATGTGAATGTTTGAAGTACGTGTGTGTATGTATGCCATTGTTGCGGTGCGCCGCTGTTGGGTGGGGTTAGTGGGTTGCGCAAAGCTTGATGAACTGTTGATCATGACAATGACACAATATGTTTGCTTGGGCAGATGATTGCGCGCGACGCGATGTCGTTTGTTTGCATTGTTTGTGGTTGTGTGTGGTGCAGGTGGATGTGGCGGCACGCCATGTATGGGCATGTGTGGCGCGCAATGGTACGTCAGCGCACGTGATTAGAGGGGACAGCGCATGTTGTTGTTGTGATATATGTCAGCAGACAGTTTATTTTTGAATGCAACTTAATGAGTCAGAGAAAGAAATTAAGAAAAAATTAATTAAGTTAGAAAATGTTGTGTAATACCGCTTTCCATTGAACTTTTGCAAGCTTTTATTGCTTTTTTGGCTTTTCTTCGAAGTAACATTATTTATATTGACTGATCACATTATTTTGTATATAAAGAGTTTGGAGTTTGACTCAGCTTGAATGAATGGCTACTGGGTGGAAATTAATTACAATGAAAACAACATTTAAAAGTTTCACACAAATGGTAAAAGCCATTTGGTAAAGGTTGAAATGAGCTTATATCATTATGTAAGTATTAAGGATCTAGAAGGCATCCTTTTATTATTTTGATCACAAATGTTTTCTCCTTTATGTCTTAATTAAGCATTTTATCGGAACAGAAACAGAACAGAGAACAGAAACAGTTTTCTGGGCAGGTAGTAAGTGAGTGGTATATCACAAACTCGCGAAATGTATCACTGTTGTCTTGTTAGAGCTTAAAAGCTCCACTAAATTATCTGGCTAAGAGCAGTGAGCAGCACACGTCGTCGATTTCAAAAACAACCGTGCACAGGCAAAGCTACTTCAATTCTTATGCGGCACTTATAATCTATAGATTTTTGCTCGTTTAGTCACTTGGACAGTGCGCCACAGCCTTGATCAGTAGAATGTCAAAATAAAAGGCTTCTTCGGCATTACAGCGCATATATACAAATACCAAACATCTGTGTGTGTGTGTCGCTCTTTCGTACCACAAGCTGACTTTATCAACCCCGTTCACCGGCTAAGCCGAGTTCATACTCTAGCTGGTGGTAATAAAATTTTATAGTTCGCTACCAATATTTACTGTTGACTCTTTTAGCACTCGAACACACTTCCTCGTCGCTAATTTACGGGCATTTCGTGCATGCCACAGCGTATTTGTTGCTGCACACTTCTTTGTCGATAGCTTCGTCATTATTTGCGTCGTGAGTTGTTACTGAACATATTATAAAAACGAAAGATGCTGTTGTTGTTGCAGCATAGCATTTGTCCTGCTGTAGAAATCAGCTTAGAGCTAGCCGCCACAAACTCATCGCACTTGGCATCTTGGTGATTTTACCGTAAACGTTTCGCGGCCTGCAGCTTTTGCCTTGGCTGCGGTATTGCGGTCACTAAGGTACCGTTAGAGCTGCCGATAGTTATGGCTTAATGTCGACAATATTTTCATTGCTTTTATTTGTTTTTGTTTTTTCCTATATGTGACCATTTGTTAGCACATTGAAGGCATCCTCGCACCTACAACTTCGCTTTTAGTGTATTTGTGGTACTATAAGTGTGTGTGTATGTGTGCGTGTATTAAATTGCCTGAGGCTTTGTGTTTATCTAAGCACATTTTTGTAACTTCTTCGCGTCTTCTGAGAGTGTTGAGCAGTATCTAAACCATTTCAAGTGAGAACTTATACTGACTTTACAGTTTTACTCAGTTAGTAGCGTTATACATATGTATGTATGTATATTAGAAAAGGTAAATACTAAACTTTGTTTGCTTGAGTTCTTTGTCCGAATTTTGAACGTTAGTAGATTTTTTTGGGTTCCCCATGGAATAAAAGTTAGCAGCAGCAATTTTATATTGATGGTATTTAAGGGGCAACATCTCGTGTGACAGCTTAAAATACGTCGATTTTTGGGAATTTAAACCAAAACTACTGTATCGATTTCCAGTGTATATTTATAGATATTTTAAGAATACACAGTGAAATAAAAAAAAACGATTAAATATTTTTTGAGTTATACGAGCTCTCCGAAAGCACTAAAAAAAGATCCGCGCTGCAGCAGTGATTCCGCCCTTTTCCGTGGATGAAACTTAAAAATAAAAAAATATCGTTAAACTCGAAGATATTGATTCTACAAATCAAGAAACAAAAAAAGAAAACTTGACAATGGCGGCGTTTTAAAAAAAACAGATTGAATTTTACCCCAAATTTTGGTCGTTTTTGGCCCGAAAAAATTCGATTTTTGATCAGATCAAAAAATTGATAAGTCAAGATGATCGGATCATTTGGCTTCGAGTTATCACTTCAGCAAACTCGAAAAATACTGTTTCGAAAAAAAACGCGTTGAAAGATAAACTGATGGAGCTGATTGTACTACCGTTTAAACTGGCTGTAACTCCAAACCTGTTTGAGATATCGATTGGAAATTTTTGTATGCTATTTTTAATTCACACTAGATGCGCCCCTTAAGTTACTACCCTCAATTAACTACGTTGAGCTATAAACACTGTTTTGAGCTTGTAAAGAATATCGAATTGGTACTTAGGACACGTTTAGAGAACAGTTTTTATATTATAAAAAACTTAACCGGCAAATAAACACGAGATTAAGGTTATGTGTTAAGGAACAACTGTTAATGTGGTATTAAAGGTGGTTTTTAATAATTTTTTTGTATGATAACCTGCGTATTTCTGAATAGAGTTTATTACTAAACCCCAGAATGACCATTAAACATGCGCTTCAGGACGATTTAAGTGAATATCACGAAAGTGTTTTCATGCAATCTCAACATATTTACACTCTTGCCACATTTGATGCCACAAATGCATATATGCATTTCATAGGTAATATTTTGTGACCAGATCATAACAGTATGCTGCCTACAAAAGTGTTTGTTATAATCCGCCAAAAACAGTTTTGAGGACCACTTGACGTATCGCAACTTGCTGCTGTTGGCCATTGTGCCCCTTGTTGCTGTCGCTCATACAATGAATGCCGTTATTTTGGGATTGTAACGCGCAATTACGGAATAGTACCCGCCTGCTGCAGACATACATACAGAGTAAAATCGAGTTGCGCTGCAGTGACTGTAGCCATTCGTTGCAAGAGTTCTTTAGCCGTTGTTTTAAGTTGTTGTCGGTGATGGTGGCATCGCTTGCTGCAACACATGCGCTGCCTTTTTATATTTCTTTGGTTTGTTGTTGCTCAAGTGATATGTAGTT